CTGGAGAAATTCGGCTTCGCATAACGGTAATTATGAACAAGATATTTTCCCTAATAAAATTACTGCAAAACAAAATCTGGAGGAACTAAGTGTTTCCCTCTGTCCTCCAGAGTCTGTTCCCTGAGCTCCAGAACCGTTTGGGGAGAGAAGGGGCGAGAGAGAGGAGGGCAGGGAACAGAGAGACAGAATCCCAGCCTCTGCCGAGGGTTGGTTTTGCTTTACAAACTGGAATGTGTCCAGGCTTGATTTTTATTTTCAATTCGCATTTCAGATCCAGCTCCCCAAACTCTTTGATCTTTCTCCCTGTCTCCTTACCCGGAAGAGAACCCTTGGCCTTCTCAGCTGGGAGCTGGGAGCACACGTGGAAAGCCTGGCTCGGATCCATATTCTTGCCAAATTTAGTCACACAAAGGGGCCTGCGAGGGAAAAAAGAAAGGATGAAAGCAGCAGCCGCCGGGACTTCAAAGGCCGCGCCGCCGCGCCGGGCCCTGCGCAGGCGCCGCCCTCCGCGGATATAAGGCGAGGCGCGCGCGGGCCGGGGGCCGGGTGGGGGGCGCGGGGGGCGTGGGGGCGGGGTTGGCCGCCTCCACGCCGGGCTCAGGCGCCCAGGGAAAAGTTGGGGAGCACGGGGGGGGGGGGCAGGGGGACGCGACGTGCACATCCTACCCTCCAGATCTGGCCGTCCAGCGGTCCCAGACGTGTGTCCCCTTGCAGGGAGGTCCGGGGGTCCCTGGCATGCCCCGTCCCCTGCGTCTTCGCGGGCGGCCGCCAGCCCACGGGCCAAGGCCACGACGCGGGCGGCGGGTGGTCCTGGACGGGACGCGGTGCCGGGGTGGCGGCGGGCGCAGCGCGGGGGCCCCTCGGAAGCCGGCGTCCGGCGCGGCCGGGTTCGGGGACCAAACGCTCACGGTGCCACGAATGCCCAGCTAGCCCTGGGGACACGGCGTGGGGGTCGGGGTTTGTCTGTCTTCGGGGGAGGCCGGGAAAGGCGAGGGGACCCGGGGGGCGCCAACGGCCGCTCGCCTCGCTCCGTCCCCCGAGATGGGACCTCGGTGCCCGCGCTGGGCGCGTCCTCCCGGACCTCGCTCCCTCCTCGGGCTCCGCCACCTCCTTCCTTTGGGACCCCCCACCAGAGTCGTAACCGGGAGAGAGTCCAGGCCACACAGAGGGGAAGCCCCGGAGTCGGGGTGGGGGTGAGGACGAGGGGGCGGAGGGGCCCGGCGCTTCCCTCCACTCCCTGTAATTAAGGACTCGCTCGGGTGTCTGCAGCCGACCCACTTGGCAGCGGCGGGGCCCGGGGGAGGGGCTCCCGGCGGGGTGCGGGTCACCCTCGGCGTCCTCGGGGGCCTGGCCTCCTTCCTCCCCACAGCCCCCGACCTCTCGGGATTCCGGAGAGGGCGCGGGCGGGCCGGGCGCCCCCCACGCGCAGCGCGGCCGTCGGCGGAGAAGTCAGCGCTGGTTCCCAACGAGGCGCTGCTCGCTCCCCAACTCCGCCCCGGCCCCCCAAAGCCACCGAGTGGGGGTGGGGGTGGGGGGAATCGACCGCCTGCCAGCCCCCCCGAGCAATTGTTTCACTGTCGGAATTCAATCACATCCAAACGCCCCCTGAAACCCACATCCTGCAGGAGAGGACCTGCCCCCGCCAACCTCCAGCAGCTCGCCCGACTCCATACGCACAACCTGCCCCGACATCCGCGGGCCGAGGGCGGCGGGTAGCGGGGCTGCGCCCGCGCCCTCCGACGGGTGGGCACCCGACACTCGCAGCGGCCCCACACGTGCCAGCAGAGCCCGCCCGGTTACAGAGGGGACTTTGCCCGGGTCTTGGATGGCATCCGGGGGTGGGGAAGGAAGCGGGAGTCTTCGACCCTCTAGTCCCCCAACCCCCAGGGAAGGACAAGCTTCACGTGGCAGGGTCACCTTCCATCCCTGGCAAAGCCTTTTTTTTTCCTCCCTATGTTTTTCCAGACAAAGCTAGAAACGACTTGGCAAACGTTTTTGGGTAAAGACCCTTTTAAGTGCAGTGGACGGTTTGTAACAATATTAAGAGTGTCACTCACGCCGCGCGTCAAGCGCGGAGGAAATCGACAACCACGCAAATAAGAGCAAAGCGCATTTCGTTGAAACAATGTTTCCAAAGGAGAGGGTTAGAGCAAAACACCGCGCGCAGCCACCTACCGTCGGCCCTTCCAGCAAACAGTTCCCACTAGTTATTGTTACAAAATTTCCCATCTTCTTGAGCTCCTAATCTCCAGGACACCTGGAGCTGTGCTCCAAAGGACTAGGGGAGTCCAGATAATTAACATGAAGGAGAAAATGGGATTCGAATTAGTTGCAACACTTAAACAAGGGGGGGATGTAGGAGACGTCACTTAATCTCTCTCAGGCTTTCAGAAAATATCCTCTGGCCATTCTGTGGATAGTTGGATGAAAAGGACCGTCTATTTTGGGTGCTTTGGTGAAACTGCATTTTCCAATTCTTTTCCTATTGGTCAAATTGGCGCATTTAGGGGAGGACTTTTGACTCTGTTTTCCCATATTTCCTTTACAGCTGAGGGTATAAATGTCTGACGCGTTCCCATCCAGGTTATAACCATTCATACTGATCGATAGCTTTAAGGGTGCCACCAACCAAAAATAAGCAACAATGGAGTTCTTTCCACACTGTTTTAGTATGGTTGCCTTGCACAGCCTAGCCGGATAGTCTTCATTGTTTCCCTTCTCTAAGGCACACAGCACTGTCCGCCAATGCAGGTAAATTTAATGGTTTACTCTTCGCCTGTCCCATCACTCGATCACTCTCCCCTTCATTTTTAACTCCAGTTCCTCGGTTAGAATTTACATCAAACTATTGGCCATGCCCTGATGGCCAAGTGAATCCTCTCAAAGCCGGTTTTAAACATCTCTCGCTAGCAAATGCCCATCTGCAGGAAGCATTTCTCAGTAGGCAAAGTTTCAAGTGCTCATTGGAGATTAAGGTCTTTGCTTATACAACGTCCAGCACTAGGGCAGTTTCCCCTGAGAAAAGAGGGATCTTTGTAGGGCTACCTACATAATAGACAGAAACTGGTTAGTAGTGTTTTCCTTAATTTTAATTTAAGGGAGATGGAGACCCATCTCTTTGTGCGCCTTGTTTACTGTCCCGTGGCTTTACAGATGGCTGCTGTGTTGGGGATAATAATTTTGCCTGGATTTTTAACTGAGGGGGCTTGAGAGCCAAGGAACAAAATGCAATGTGTTTCCTAACTTCCAGCTCCCTCACGTAGTATACTGTAACTTTCACAAAGCATCTCCTTAAAAGTCCTGTCCTTGTACAAAACGCATCAAAGCGCCGGTGGAGGCTGCCGAATTTTTGAGGTCTGATTGGGATTTGCATCCTCAAGGGTCCCTTTGAGTGCGCAGTCGGAGGTGCCTCCCTCTCCTGGCTGGCTCCCCGGGGCCTTTTTGCCTTCTCTCTCTCTCCCGTGGGGGCTGGAGGGTGGTTCTTGCCCCCCACCCTCATATGAAGTGACCCCATTTCGCGGGGGAGTAGGGGGGAAGGGCGCACGGGTCTGAGAATCCAGCAGACTAGGTAAGGCACTCCGCCCACCCCTGGGCAAGAATGTCATGAAAGAAACCAATTTCGCTCGTTTTCCAAGAGAAATCTGACAGCACTTTGGGAGTTCTTCCTCCCCTCTCCCCTCTTGTGCCCCCCTCCCCGTGAGGCCGGAGATCTTATTTTTATTTATGCTAGCCCGTGCTCCCGGGTCCCTTGACATTAAAAATTCCCTGCAAAGCCACGACTCTTTCCCCAGTGCTTGCTTCCGTCCTCTCTTTATTAGTTGAGCAACGTCGGTCCTGTTCCCCCCACCCCCCTTCTCCCCTCGGTCCCCCCGATTCCCGCCTCATCCCCCTCGGTCAGAGCATCTATCAATGCGGTGTCGAGCACAGCCGCGGCGGCTTCGCTTTCATCTTCTTCCCCGGGCCAGAGCGAGGGAGGGAGAGAGGGAGGCGGAAAGGCGGTGGGGGGAGCCGGGCGGAGGGAGGGCGGCGGGGGGCGGGGTGTCGGGAGCACCCACACCCGGGCGCCCAAGTTAAACCACGCGGGCCAAGCCGGGCCCTCCGTGGGTTCCGAGAAGCGCGGGCTCCTTCCTTCCCCCCGCCAAGTTGCCAGATCTTTCTGTGCCGGCGCAGGCGCGCGCGCGCGCGCACACACACACACACACATATACACACACACACACACACACCAACTAGGACTCGTCCTACAGGCGCTGGGAAAAAGGAAAATACACACACACACACACACACACACATACACACACACAACTAGGACTCGTCCTACAGGCGCTGGGAAGAAGGAAAACACACACAGAGACACACACACAGACAGACACACACACACATACACGCACGCACTCACACCCCCCAAGCCGGGGCTCAATCAGCAGCTCCTCCCGCGCCCCTCCGCCCCCCCAGCGGGCAGCCCGGGAGGCTGGAGGCGGGGGAGGGGCGGGCAGCGGGCGGCGGCGCGGGGCGCATTTCAGCGGCGGGCGAGGGCCGGGAGGGCGCGGGAGGCGCAGCCGCTCACCTGCGGGCCGGGCGCGGAGCAGCAGCCGGCGCGCCCCGAGCCCCCCGCACGCCGCCCGGCTCCGGGGCCCGGCCGGGAACAAAGACGCGCGGGCGGCCGCCCCGCCGCCGCCCCAACTTTCCTCGGGGCCAACTCCTGTCCCCTCCTCCTCCTCCTCCTCCACCTCCTTCTCCTCCTCCTCCTCCTCCTTCTCCTCCTCCTCCTCCGGCAGACCCGATGCGCCCGGCGCGGGGAAACCGAGGCCAGAGGCTTGCGCGCCGGCCGCGCTGACACCGACCCGACCCGCCGCTCGCTCGCCGGCTCCGTCTCGCCTTCGCCCTTCAGGAAGTGGACCTTTCGGTGTCTTCTGCTTCTCTCGAACCTTCTCCGCCGAGGCAAACGGAGCTTTCTTTTTTTCCCCCACGTTTTTTCTGTTTTTGTTTTTCTTCTTTTTCTTTTTTCCTTTTCTTTTGCCCGGCTCCCTTCCCGGCTCTGAAAGCCAACTCAGCCGCCCGGGGGGCGCGCTCGGGGCGGGAAAGCGCGGCCGCCCCCCAGTCCAGCGTCTTCCCCCCACTCCTTTTTCGGCGACCCCCGTCACTTTTCCTGCGGTGGCCTCGGGTGCTCCCCGGCGGAGCGGAGATTACCCAGCGGCCGGGATGCCCCAACTCTCCGGGGCCGGCGGCGGCGGGGGGGACCCGGAGCTCTGCGCCACGGACGAGATGATCCCCTTCAAGGACGAGGGCGACCCCCAGAAGGAGAAGATCTTCGCCGAGATCAGCCACCCCGAGGAGGAGGGCGACCTGGCCGACATCAAGTCGTCCTTGGTGAACGAGTCTGAGATCATCCCGGCCACCAACGGACACGAGGTGGGCGCGGAGAGGCGCGGCGGGGCCGGGCGCGCGGGGCCAGGCGCCGGGGATGGACCGGGGCGCGGGGGCCCGGGCCTCGCTCCCCGCCTTTGTGTGCGCGCTGGGGCGACACGGGTGCCCGGTGGCTCGGTGAGTGGGTGGGCGGCCACCCCGTCTGGGGGCGACCGCCCCCGGCGCCCCGGGACTCGGCAGCCCGTTGCGCGGCCCCCGGCGAGCCCTGACGCCCGTTGGGAAGCGGCCGCGCGTGGGTGCCAGGCCGCCCCGGGGGCGGCGGGCTCTCGCCACGGAGCCGGGGCTCGGTCGGACCCGAATCGGGCCGGGGATCTCGGCCGAGGCGGGCGCGGCGGAAGCCTGGGGGACGCGCTTATCTGATCGCGGGCCGGTGGGCCCCCCGCGCCCGTCACCCGGGCGCAGTAAATAGAGACACGTGGGTGCCGGCGAGGGCCAGCGCTGCCGGCCGCCTCAAGGGCTATTTCGGGCGGCGGCGGCGGGAGCCTCAGAAGTGGGGGCGGATGCGCCCTGATACCCGACACCCCGGTGGCCACCCGGGTCGGGCCCCGGGGAAGAGCTTCGGGAGGAAATCCGGTTGGAAAGTCCTGACACTCGGCTGGTTTCATCTAGGCCTCCCCTCCCCCCCCACCACCAAAGAAACTTGGAGGCAAGACCCCTTTCTCCTTAAATGGCATCCTTCTGCCCCCAGAAAGAAAGTGTGTGGTTTTGGGGGGGCGGAGACGTTTGGGGTTTTAAACAGCACGTTAAAGAACACCCCTGAGTTACCTTCTTTGTCCCAATGGCAGGGGTGAGTATGAGATGCAAAGGCTGGTGGCCAGGGTGCTCAGGAGAGAGGCCTCAGAGCTGAGGGTTGGCCCCAGCCCACCTGGGGGTGGAGGTCTGGGCTACAGCAGACCGAGGTAAAGGCTGGTGGCCTGCCGGGATTGGGGGCCACAGGGCGGGCTCTCCCTACCCAGTCGGCCTGCCTCTCTGCACACCCTAAGTCCGTTGCCCTCCTGTCTCTATCTCTTAATACTTTCCTGCCCCTTTAAAGGGTGGCAGGTTTGCATAGCCAGGGGACCACCGGTTTATATGAAGGGCTTTGTCTTCCTCTGCCAGTGTGGTAAGTGGGCACCGGCAGACCCCAGGAAGATGGTGCAGAGGGGAGACCACTGATTTGCACGTGGTTGAGTCTGGTGGACCGCGGTTACCAGTACTGATAGTAGCTGGGCTCCCGTTTAGATGTCTGTAACCGAGTACCAAGCTTTGCTCCCTTCAGCCACAGCCTAGCCCCCCTTCTCATGGCAGCCAGTGCTCACGCCAACTGCCCAGGTAGGTTTGGGCAGGGGCTCGGGGCCTAGGAGTGCCGGGAGGCCGCCCCCGGCCCAGTTTGTCATGTTTAAAGTGTCCTTTGCAGTGGCAGAATACTGAAGCTCACTTATTCGGCTCAGATTGAAGCAGACGCTGGCAGAAGAAGCGATTAAAACCCGATTCCCTCAGACCACTTTCACCTTAGCAGCAAGAGGCCCGCCTCTGTGTCAGCAGATGCAGCCGGGGTTGCTTGGCATCGTCCCCAAATGTGCACATTATTACTGTCATTGATGCTGCTCAGTCCTGGGTGGATAATAATCATTTTAGAATACGCTTCAAAAGGAAAAAGATTTCCCAGTACTCAGGCCCGGGTTTTAGGAGGATAAAGCAGCGAGCTTGCCGAGCACCTGATCTCACCATCCAAGTTAGCGGCAGGCGCGCTCAGGCGGTTCTTGTCAGCAGCTCTAAGTGATTCTCTTTCTCTTGGGGGTGGGCGCTTGTGCTGATAGGTGGCCAGACCAGCACAGACCTCTCAGGAGCCGTACCACGACAAGGCCAGAGAACACCCCGATGACGGTAAGACCCTGTCCCTCTCCCCACACGTGTCCTTGAGGTGGGGGAGGCGTTCCTGGCTTTTGAGTCCAAGACGCCACAATCAGATGTCACAGGAGCTGGACCGACATTTTAACAAAATAGGAAAGAAAACCCAGGAGAGCCAGGCTTATGTTTAAGGTGTGTGTATTCACATCATTCTGAAAAATGCCCTTGGGTGAATTCAGGCCCCTTGGATTTCAGTTGGCCTTGCCCGTTCTTTGTGTCCCACACAATGCTGTGCCCATAAGGGGTTCCCTTTCCTCACTCTCCCTCCAGTTCTGATTGACTCAGATCTTCAGTATCTTGCTGCATTGCCAGAGGGTGATAGTCTACGCTGATTTATTTTCTAACTGTAGTTTCAAGTTGATTTTCCTCTGAAGTGCTATTTGGTGTGACAGTGAGAAGGCAGCTGTGAATACTCGGGCTGAAAGGGCTCCCCCGTACTGCAAAATCTCCCCGGATAAGATATAAAACTTGATTCTTAAAACCGGGGCCCAGGCCAAGGGAACGTGATACGCAGACTTCCTCCCGTTTCTAAGTTTTGCTCAAAATGTGAAAAATGATTTTTGGGTTTTGTTTTGGGGGAGGATGTCTGTGACTTTAAAGGAATCAGGTCCTGTATCTGTTCTCCTTGCAGAACAGTCTGCGTTTCTATTCTCCTTTAATTACTTACAATTGGCCTGACCAGAATGCATGGTTTCTACAGACAATATGTCAGCCAGGGGAAGAGCGAAATGGAACTCTGATGCCAAGCTTCCTTCTGAGCTCAGAGTAGTTAAAGAGACGAAAGCCAAGAAACGTATAGGGTGAATACACACACGTTTCTTTGGCAGAGCGATTAAGTGCAGCACAGAAAATTAAGTCTCCTGGAGTTCATCTTTCCGACATTTGGGCAGTTGCCTGCTTGCTAGACCCAGCTCCCTTCCTTTCATAAAATTCACACATTTTTAGAAATCTGGATGCACAGGTGGATTTTTTAAAAATTGCTTGCAAGACTAAGCATGATTTCAAGCATCTGAATGTGTGTGTGTGCGTGTGTGTGAGCACATGTGTGTGCGCGCGCGTATGTGTGTGTGCGTGTGTGTGCGTGCAGAGCGAGACTCTGTGCATTTACGGCTCTGTGTTTGCGAGAGCTCTTCTCTCACGTGTCTGTTACGTCTTAGTCCAGTTTGTTAGTATTAGAACAAATTAAGTTAGATGGATAACACTTATTTTTGTAAAGACACAAGTCAGTAGTTGAAGTAAATTGAACCACATGTTTTTAAAACATCTGGTTCACTGCTAAGCCACTTAAGAGAATAAATACTGTCAACCTAAAATAGAGCATAATAATCCAGTTACAGTATTTTGTAAACAAATCTTCTAGTATAAGATTTTCCGATGAAAAATACAGTGATACTAAAAGGAAGTCCTCACTGGTGGTTGTCTGTTTCCTCAGGAAAGCACCCAGATGGAGGCCTCTATAACAAGGGACCCCCCTACTCGAGTTACTCCGGGTACATCATGATGCCGAATATGAACCCTGACCCGTACATGCCCAATGGATCTCTTTCTCCGCCCATCCCGAGAACAGTGAGTAGCACGCTGATGCTGTAAATTATTTTTGGAAGTGCAAATTAATGTGTTTTCGGCAAATGTTGCTAAAAGCACTCTGGCAGTGCTTTTGTTATCTGACGGATGTGCTAAGACAGACTACTCTGGGGGCATGTTGCCCTGAGCTGTGCTCCTTGGTTGTCTGACGTTTGGGATTTTAGCTTTTGATTTAGTAAGGTTAAGATTTTTTTTTCGATCACATTACCATAAAATCAAGTGAAGTTAAATCAACTAATTCATGGCTTTCTGAGTGTTGTTTAGTCTGTACTGCTGAGAGGAAGACAATGGATCGAATCTTTTGGTTAATCGAGTCCTTGATCCCCTGATTTCCCTTCTGCTCTCTATAGTTCGCCGGTTACTCTGACTGTCTTTGGAACTAAACACTGGGAATGTGACTTGAGCTTTTAAAACAGTTTCCCATTTCGTTGTGCTGGCTGAGGTTTTTTAAAATAAGTCGGGGTGGGAGGAAGCTATTTTTCCGTCATTATCAGTTTCTGAGAAAATGTCGCTTGGAGATCACCGTTCAGTGTTTCTGTGGACTCTAGTTCAGTTAGCTTCCAGAGCTCTGGAACAGCACATGCCTCCTACCTGCACCCGGCAGACTCTGAGGATTTCAGATGTGCCCTTGCTTGCTGCTACTCTCCTTAGTTGGGAGGTGGGGCCCTCGTTTGTCTGGGAAAGGGCTGGGTGGGCAGGAAACGTCGGAGAAGGGGGGCTTGGGCCAGGGGACAGGCCTGCGGGCTCTTGATCCACCCCGATATTTACCTCCTTTCCTGTCTCACCCTGCTGCCACCCGACTGGTTGGAAATGTGTGAGGAGGGGTCCTGGCTGTCACGGTTCCGGGCAGATAAATGGAGGCCCTGTGGTTGGCCCTGGCCCTGCACAGTGAGAGGGCGCGTGGACAATGGGAGGGGTGCCTGTGGCTGCTGGGCCCCCAAGAGCAGGGCCTGGAGGCTGCAGAGGAGCCAGCAGCAGGGGACGGGGGCACCAGCTCCCTAGGAACCAGTCGCTCTTGCTGGCTCTCCACTATCTGCAGCAGAGGTGTAGGACATGGAAAACCGCGCGACGTGGGCACAGGCATGAGAGCTCTGGGGGCATCTCCCCTCGCGTTTCCGATGGGAGTTGACCTTGCAAGCAGGGGATGAGATTCTTTTATTGTCATGGAGCAGCTAAAATGGTGGTTGGGGGACCTTGTGTTGCTGACGGGGGAGGTGGCAGGTCCCCGTTTTAAAAGGCTTCTTCAGTGTTCTGCGGAAGTAGAACTACAAAATGAAGGAATAAAAAGAGCCAAGTAGCTCTTGATGTAGGAAAACCACCCCAAATACACGTGTTTCTTGGCTTTCAAATGTATGGGGCGGGGGGTGACTTTGTATTTGTTGACCCAAATGATGCAGAACCCAGTGGATTTCCTTCCTTCTGTAGTTGGACTATTTGGATTTTTCTAACAGGGCAGGGTATGAATATGTTTTAGATAAGGTTTACTTGAACATTTCTGTTGGAACATTCTGTTGGAAGATTCTGTAGATAATCTGTTTGACAAGTCGATTTCTAGTCTCTGAAAAAAGAGCCACTTAAACAACTACAGACCCTTAGCTTTCACAGTTACCTGTTGGTGGAGTCTGTGCAATTTATTTATCAGGTTTGGGAGTCCTCCTTGACTGTGCTCTGGGGCTCATCCTGTCTTGATGCTCAGTGTTTGCTCCCGGCAGTGCCCAGAGGATCATACAGATCTGGGGATCAAACTCAGGGCCTCGCATATGCAAGACAAATGCCACAAACCCAGCCTGGAACTTTTTCTTTTCCTCTGCCATGACTTGGTAAAAAATAAAAATAGAACAATAATCATCGTCATAAGAGCCTGTTGTTCCTTACAAGTTATCCCTCAGAGTCCTGGAAACTGAGCTGCCTCCTGTCTGAATGGCGCTGTCTGCCTGTCCCCTCCCTCCCCCCTCCTCCTGGATGGGAAGCATTTTGAAGCTTTGGTAGGCTGGAAGGAAGGTACATATTGCTGGTGAATGTATTAAAATTTTGAGGTCAGTGACTCGAACAGTCACTCATTGTTTGGGAAAGATTTGTGGGCAGCGTGTGTGTTGGGTGGGTGTGAGGGACGGGGAGGGTGTGGTGGGGCCGCCCGGCCCACTCTGCTCTCTGGGGCGCCCGTGTAGAGGCGCAGCCGCTGCAGGCACGGTTGCTGGGGATCTGCTGCAGTTTGCACAATTCCAGAAGCTTCTCAGCGGCAACCACAAGGCTCCGTCCGATGCAGTTGTTTTTTTTTGAGGGTTCGATCGAAGTGAGTCGCCGACTTTGGTTTTTAATATCCAGCAGCTGTTCTTCCTGTGTGTGCCCCAGAGTGCTCTCCCCAGAAGGCGGCCCTGCCCCTTCCCCCTGAGCACCCCATGCCCGAGTCTGTGCCCGCTGCTGGCCTGGCAGGCCTGTGTCTGCGGGCCTGTGCCACTGACTCCTGCCCTGGCCGGCTCTCCTCTGGGTGGTGTGGAGGGAGCGATGGTGTGATGTGTGTGTGTGTGTGCGCGCACCCTCGCGCTTATGTATGTGCTGAGGGTGGGAGTGGCCGCTGGCCCCCTTCTAGCCTGATGCTGCCCCTCCCCCCAGGATTGCCTGTTTCCGGCAGCTGTGGCCCACAGGTGGCAGGACTGGGAAGCCTGATGGGTAGGGCCCTCCCTCCGCTCTCTGGCAGGGCTGCGAGGTGTCCGGAGACCATCACCCGGGGCCGCCTGGCACCCAGCAGACTCCCTGCTCCGATATCAGGGCCCCCGTCTCAACATCAGGCTCTGCTTTGGGGGTCATCCCCCACGGGTAGGAGCCGACACTCTCACCCTGACGTCTGTGGCGGGGCCTTCAGTTCCTTTTTCGTCCTGAAGGGAGATTTTCATTGGGTAATCACAGACTCCCAAAACTGGAGTTCCTATAGGTGTGTCAATAGCGATGTCTGCTGAACGGGCGTCTCCAGAATGCCATGGAAGGATTCTTCTTTCGGAGACACTGGGCTTGGCAGGGAAGCCCCCAGGAACCGACGTGGGGCAAGTGCGAGGTCTGCGCGCACCCCTGATGTCTCTGGAGAGCACGAAGAAGATGCAGAAGCTGGTTTAATATTTCAGAGCAAGGGCCCCGGAGGGTTGAGTAGAAGTACATTCTCCATCTTTCTTCAGGGCCTTATTTGCGAAGGTCCCCTGCAGGCTGGCAGGAGAGGGTGGGAGGGAAGGCCAGAGCGCCCCTCCCTGCCAGCCCCTGGGCTGTGGGCGCAGCGCTCACAGCTGGCCTGCCTGTGGTTCCTCATCGCAGGTGCCAAGCTTCCATTTGTCCCTGCACAGCTCAGAGAAACGGCTCTTAGCACCTCTGCAGAGAAACGCCTCCCATCTTGGTTCTCTGTAGGGGCGGAAGGGCCGGAAGTGTGGGAGCACCTGGCTCCCCCCAAGGGTCTCTGGCCGGGGCTGTATCGTGCTTCTGTCTCTCTTGCTCTTCTTGAGGCCAGAGAGGAAAACTTTTGTGCTCACATTTTTGTCCTTCTCTCGGCTTGTTTTTAGTAGATACAGCTATTTAAACATTTCATTGATGCTGATTCTGTATTTTGGTTTTGGACCACGCCCCCGCTGGGCTCAGGACTTACTCCTGACTCTGTGCTCGGGGTTCACTCCAGGTGGGACCATCTGGGGTGGTGAGGATCGAACCCGGGTCAGCTGCATGGAAGGCAAGGGCCCTTGCTGCTGTCCTGTCTCTCCAATCCAGCTATTATTTTTTTTCCCTCTTTTTGCACAACTCAGTTCTATTCTGTGGTTTTCTGTCTGAAGGGAATCGTGCTTTCTGGTGAGCAGAGGTTCATCGGAATCACCTACCTGGGGGTCTGTGTTTGCTTCAGACTGCTGAGAGGCAGCCTTGTTCTTGTTCATTTTAACATATTAATTGTGAAATTCAGGCAGCAAGGTGAGCTGAACTAATCGGCCCCTTTCTGAAGCCACCAAATCTCACTCCGCTGTGTGGCTTTGGAAATCGTCACAGGAACAGCTGTGACTTGGGCACTAGGGGAGAACCAGGGCTTCTGTTTCGAGAAAGGTGTTGAAGATGGAGTGCCTTTCACTTTGCAGCAAGGAGCTATTGAGTTAGAATTGTTCTTTTTTTTTTGCTTTCTGGGTCATACCCGGCAGTGCTCAGGGGTTCCTCCTGGCTCTGCACTCAGGAATTACTCTTGGCAGTGCTCAGGGGACCATATGGGATGCTGGGAATCAAACCCGGGTTGGCCACTGTGCTATCGCTCCAACCCCAGCCTTGTTAATTTTTAATATACCCTATGTTGAAGTTTGGGCCGTGAAGTTTTTCGGACGTGTGCGGACTTAGCTAGGAATGTAACGTCAGCGAAGTGGAGGGGAAGCTCCTCAGGGCCCCGACGCTGCTGTTGGACTCATCCTTCAGTGCTCCCGGCTGGGATCAAACCCAGCATCAAACATGGAGCATCTGGAACTGTTCACACCCACCCATGTCTTGTTCCCAGGAAACTTACTCATTCTGGGGCCCCTCAGAGAGCAGCTTGGCATTTGTGCGCTGGTGTAAAAGTGCCATCCCGGTTCCGAAGCGCACCCAAACAGGAGAACCCGCTTTCCTCAGACGAGGCCAGGGAGCTGACCTGCAGGAACCCTGGCTTTTGAGACGCACCCCTGCCCCCACCCTTGCCCTCAGCAGTGCTGTTACTGGGGGCCAGAGATGCCTGAGTTTGAAGGGGGCAACGGTGTGGGGGGCTCTCAGATGGCCCCCTGCCCTCAACCTGCCAGCTCAGATGCTCTGCACCTCCTGGCCGGTAAATTCTTGTGCGGTCAGTCTTGGTTGCTGCCGTGTTTGCCCTACTGGCCCCTTGGCCTTTACGCAGAGCCATTTTTCATTGATGAGATTCAGACCTTTGTTCTGTTGGTTGAGATCTCTGGGTACATCGTGGGTTTTCACACCTCTTCAAAAGTAAGTTGTCACCCGTG